TTATATTATTATATTATATTTGCATTATTATTTTATTTTGTTTGCATTGCTATATTATAATTATTGTATTACCATTAAATTTCTATTATGATATATATTATAATATTGTCATTTGTATTATATTATGCTGGCATTATATTATTATTTAATATTACAACTATTGCATTACAATTATATTTATATTATTATATTATATTGGCATTATTGTATTATTATTGATATTGTTTTTAAATACTTATTACATTATGTTATTATTATTTTTATATTATATTTTATAGTAATATTATTTGCATTATTATAAGAATATTATGTTGGCATTACTATATTATTATTTATATTACAATTATTGTATTACAATTATATTTTTAATATTATTTGTATTATATTATTTTATGTTATTATTTGTATTATCTTATTATTATATTATGTTGGCATTATATTATTATTTGATATTATAACTATTGCATTACAATTATATTTATATCAGTTGTATTATATTTGTATTATTATTTTATTTTGTTTGCATTGCTATATTAAAATTATTGTTTTACAATTACATTTCTATTATGATATATAATATAATATTATCAGTTGTATTATATTATGTTGGCATTATTATATTATTTATACTATAAATTTTATATTATGTTAGATTATATTATTATTTGTTTTAATATTATATTATGTTGGCTTTACTATATTATTATTGCAATTATACTTATTATTTATATTATTTTATTTTATTTTATTATTATATTATTTTGGCACCCTTGTATTATTATTTATATTGTTTTTAAATATTTATTACATTATGTGATATTATTATTACTTTTAAATTATATTTTTATAGTAATATTATTTGCATTATTATAAGAATATTATGTTGGCATTACTATATTATTATTTATGTTATAATTATTGTATTGCAATTATATTTATTATTATTTTTATTATTTTATTTTATTATTATATTATGTTGGCATTATTGTATTATTATTTATATTGTTTTAAAATACTTATTACATTATGTTATATTATTATTATTTTTATATTATATTTTTATAGCAATATTATTTGCATTATTATAAGAATATTATGTTGGCATTACTATATTATTATTTATATTATAATTATTATATTACAATTATATTTTTAATATTATTTGTATTATATTATTTATTTTATATTATTATTTGTATTATATATTATATGGTGTTGGCATTATTATATTATGTTATATTATTACTATTAGCATTATTATTAGTATATTAATATTAGTATTATTAGTAGTATATTATTATTTACATTATTATATTGTAATTTTATTATATTATTATATTGTATTATTTATATTACAGTATTTGAATTTTTATTATATTATATTATTATTATATTGTATTATTTAT